GCCGGCAACTTTTAAGGTGGAACGTTAACTTGTAACGTTACTCAATGAAAGCACACCTTAAATTTCACCGTGACAACTTTGACCGTCACTTTAGTTTTTATATAACATAGGCTACACTTTTAGAAACAAGTGGATCTTCAAGCATTTATAAAAATTAATTTCTACCGAGACGGAATATATTCTAATCCTCACTCTGAGAAAAAAAGCATGGCAGAGCGTTGTTCCTGTGGGCTCCGGCAACACTAACCCCCCGAACTTGCCTGAGAAATACTGAATGCACAAGCCTGCTATTTTTAAATATCCCATTGAGAAAGACTCTCACTGCAGCCTGTTTTATGTTGTTCAGAAAATGTCAGCGTGCAGCCTCGTTCTGTGGATGATGAACGAGGAGCAGACTGATGAAGGAGGAAATACAGTGAGACAACAACCCCGCCCACATGAATGAGTACTGTTTGCGGTGGAAACGCTAGGGTCTAGGTACCATGTATGAAGGATTACTTTTGGATTCAAAGGTACCATACAGAAAGTGTTTGTTGGAAACGGGGCTTATGTCCCATGTGACTGGTGGAGGCTGCACAGCCAAGTTCAAAATATAAATGTCCTATCAGGATCAATTACCAAAAGAGAATTTTGTCATTGTGGTGGCACCCGCTCCAACATTTTAACATATAATATTCACTTCAGTTTCAATCAGTGGCTTCCACTTTCCTCTGATAATGACTACAGCACCGATTCTGATTTAGTAACATGTAATAGTCGATAACGTTAAAATAAATGTAAGGCCTGTGTCATACAGATATGGCTGTTCCTCAAACCAATGAGGTGATCCCCTCTTTCCTCCATCTAAAACTGCCATTTCATTCGCAGGTGGCTGGCTAGTTAGCTACTAATTCCACCATGCTTTTATGCTAATGTAAATGAGCTAAACAAAGTAGTCACTCATCTAATGATAGCAATGTGCTTTCCTATGTTGTGACATGGGTGTGTGAAAGAAGCATTAACTTATAACATTTTACTCATATAACAGCTGGCTCGTTAGCTAGCTTCCTTGCTAATTCAACCATGCTATCTTGCTACACTGGTAACAGTGTCCATGCCTCTGTCAACCTATGCGCCTTTTATTTTAAAAGAGCAACAGCCAATGGGGAAACACCAACTTTCACGTTATCACCCAGTCTGGTCAATGATGTAGCTTCATCGCTCACTCACTCACCCAAGGACAGACTTTTGCATTTATAGGGCTGGCCTTGCTTTTGCGGTACAACCAAAAATAACTGCTTTTTGTGCCTAAAAAGTGGCTGGAAAAATAGCGACAAGTTGCTACAAAACACCCACGTTTGGTTCCTAAAAAGCCGCTAGAAACACAGCACATGTCTCAGTGAAAAACAGCTGGTTTTGGCGTCTCGCCTAGGTGTCAAAGAATTCACCATCCTCTCCACCTCCAGATGTTGAAATCAGCTTATATATTAGCCATATATGTTAATATGATACATATGAAATGTGCTAATATAATGTTTTTGTGGTTTGCAGAAACATACAGTGCCAATATTTTCCTCTGGCGACTGGGCTGTAAAAAGCAGGAGCTTGAAAATTGTTAATGCCTCTGTATCATTTGTGGCAGATCCAATTATTTCCCAAGCAGAGGACAGTCAGAGGCGCAGCAGTTGAATGTTTTCACTGTCTTTCAGCCTTAAATGCAGTCTTGCCACAGGACCTGATTTAATGAGAAAATACTCCACTAGACTGTCATGATGGGACCAACCAGAAAAAGGGCAGTGGCCTTTTTCAACTCTGAAAGTCACAGTTTAAGAAACGCTGATCCCATGTGTTTGAAGTGCTCACAGTGATTTTGAGAAATCTTCAACATGACTGCAATGTCATGGCTTGTCTGCCTCACAGACCACTCTTGCAGGCTTTCTGTAATTTAGAATAACAGTCACAAGATCCGGGGCCTACAAACACTCTTTTCTCCGATAATCTCTGCGGGTAATGTTCCAAAACCAATGTGTTTTCAAGTCGAATACAAATATTTAAATAGCTCTTTCCATACATAACTTCACTGTCAATTCCTAAGCTAAAACATCCACCACAAGCTTTGGATGGGGGAAAAAAAGACGCGGTTTGGAAAATGAGCCTGCTAATGTGTGCATGTTGGCGACTACGACACAGTGGAGATCAATCAAACGCTCTGGTCACCGGAGTGTGTGATTTACACACTCTACAAGGTGCCATGGCGTAGTAGGGTGCTACCAGTCTCTCTGACCAACAACCTGGTCCAGGAGAGCAGAGCCAAGGGAAAATAGCCACGAGATGGAGAGAGGTGCCAACATAAGCCTTGACTTCTTACACGTCCTGTCAGTCTCTGGACTATTACAGGATTCCACTGACGAACGCAGAGCACCAGTCCAAACACACACACACACAAAAAAAAGACTGAACTGACCACTGAGTCTAAATGGCAGCTTAGGGAATGCATCAATCAAAAAATATGTGCTTGCCTACTAACCCCACATAACAAATTGATATGAGCCTTGGACAATATTTCAAAAGGGTAACATGCTATTTGAAAATGTCTCCGCTCGAGGGGGATAATACTGCAAGGCTGATTTTGGGAACAGATAAACCACTATATGAGTCTTAGCATCTCTAGGAAATTACACACTGTGTAATTTGATTTCAAGGCCAATCCTGTGCTGCACAGTTATGATCGCTATTCATGAAAAATCCCCTAATTTTACCCCCAAACCACAACTTTTCAGTATCTATTGCTATCCAAGCCTACAGGGCCGGACCTAGCACATATTGTGCCCTGGGCAAGCTTCCCAAACACAGATAAACAACTAAGCTAACAAGTAATAATCATAAATAACAAACAATCAGAGAATAAATTATGTGCATATTTGCAAATTTCATCCTCCTCTTGTTTTTGTCCTCCACCTCAGATGGCTTTTGACTGTTCATCCTCTTCTACTAAAGCGCCCTCCACATACACTCCACCATCTCCACCATGTACAATTTTTTAAATGTCAAAAGGCAGCTGCCTATGTGTCCTATAGGAGGATCCACCACTGCAAGCACACAATGTCAGCACAGACAGCTTTGCCTATTCATGTCTAAAGGGTATCCTCCTGATGGCAGAACATGTAGTACAGAACACATACTGTATATGGCCATGTCAACACCAAGGGCATTGTTCCTCATGTACTCCAGAGTCCTGCCCTGTGGCTCTGTAGCAGCTCAATACACCAATTCCCAAACACACACACACATATATTCTCCCCCCACCAAAGATGGCAAAGGTAATCTCAAGGATGCGGCTGTGTATCTGTCCTCTACAAGCTGCGCCCTTGTGTCTGAGTCCCTCTTGTTACAGTTCCCCAGCCTTTAATGGCTTGTGCAGCACCTTACGGCCAAATCACAGGCCTGCGTCCTTTAGAGGAACAGAGTAGGGGAGAACAGGGACGAAAGTGTCAGGGGGACGGTTGCAACACAGAACTTTTCTCTTGTAATTCAAAAGTAGGAAACTTGAGGGGAAGTCCACAGGAGGTACACCCCCACTTTAAGTCCATAAGAGAAATTCAGCCCGATCCAATCAGTGTAGTAGAGTTACAGAGTGGATTATTCACTTATTAAAACAGAAAACATTAGTGTTTTCCAAATTTAAGGTAACGCTTATTTGTTGAAGCCTGTAAATGTATATCATCTGTTAAACTAGGGGTAGGCAACCTGCGACTCCAGAGCCACATGCAGCTCTTTGGCCCTTCTCCGGTGGCTCCCTGAGGCTTTGACAGAAAATTATATGGAAACAAATAACGGTTATATCTTTTATCATATTTTAATTTTCATTTATTGCTGTGGGCCTAAAGTGATTCTTACATTCTTCAGCTGTAAAAATGCATAGCCTATACACTGATTTAAAAAAAAAATTCAACATTTTGTCAACTAGAATGTGAGTCATACGTCTGGCCTGGTGCCTTTTCCGCTATTCAGCTAATAAGGCTGTGTTACCTTTATTATGAGGCTCAAATATGTTTTGCAGCTCAAGATGGATTTTTTTTCTTTTTTGACCTAAAATGGTTCTTTGGATGGTAGAGGTTGCCGACCCCTGTGTTTGACCTGTCCATAGGCAAAGAATCAGTGAAGGTTTAATTTATCATGCTAGCCTATCTTTGGTGCTAGCCAGGGTAAAGTTGAAGAAAAAATGGTAAGAATGACAGTAACATGGCGTTGCTTGTCGGTTTGCTTAGACTGACCTGGAGAAACATGCATGATTTAGAGATCTGAGTGCACATGATGAGTAAAAATATGTGGTGGTTTAAACATCTTATTCTAACTCAATGTTATTCATAAGAGAAAATGGTGATTATACATGAAGATGAGTTTGATGCATTGGACAAATTTCATACAATTGCGACATAAAACAAATAAAATTGAAGTGAGAGTAATATGGTTATTTACACTGGGGACTTACTGAAACATCAATGTGCTCTATATGCCGGAAATATTAGGTACTTGTTTGTGTTTCGATTTAACTGTTACTTTTGTCCGCTCCCTGGATTTCTCTTGTCCCAACAGAGAGGGGGAAAAGTAGCAATGTGCAATGTCAATTCTCAGTCTGATTGCATCTGACTCATTTGTCCAAATCTAAAAAAAATGGCTGGTATCAGTAGGGGATGTGTGTAAAATCTGTTTAGTCTAAATAAATGCATTTCTGTGTAAAGAGTGCAACACTACAAAGTTATACTTTCGTCCCTGCTCTCCCCCAACAAGGACTCTGGTGGGAAGTGACACCTCTGGACATGCTGTTTAACCAGGGCTGAAATGAGCGGGAGAACAGGTCTGTTAGTGGCAGGATTTCTGCTATTTGCGTCATTTATAAGGTGTGTGTGTAGGCGAGCGACAGAGATCAGGGAGCTAGTTCCTGTGTGTATGTTTTCCTCTCAGCTGTTTATCATTATTGTTATTACTAGTGTGTCTCTTTTTGTATGGATGGCGCTAACCTGTGATCCTCGGGAGCCTCTCTTGTGGTCCCAATCGGAGCGGGGGAGCATCTGTGGGAAAACGGAGACATGTTCAAACCACAGTCCTGAACATCCTGTTCCTGTTAGCGTCCTATAACAGAACTCACAAAAGCACACCATAATGGAGATATACAGTACTGTGCTGTAGCGGAAAAGAGGAGGAGCGGGAGTGGTGATGCAAAGAGTCAAGGAAGTGTGGGGGGAATGGAAACGCTCATAAATGCAAAAATGGGTTTTGTCTATTTTTTTTTTTTTTTCACTTTCCATTAGGTGTAGACGTCTAATGCAATTTCACAGTCAGGTTTGGTTTACTTTAGCTCCTATTCACTGCCTAAGGGCCTGGTGGAGGCTGAGGATTTTTACGCTGTCTAATTACCAGCCACTGTGTCCTCCCACAGGCCTCGTAAACCAGTTTTCCACTTTCTTGGGAGTCACCGAATGCATCAGTGCAGCTCTGTCACTGATTTTTGGAGCAACACGCTGCAGGAGAGCCAAGTCAACATTAGAGCCCCCCTGCCTCTGCTTGGGCTTTCTGCCCCAGAACTGAGAAGCAGCATGCCGCTGTGACAAATTGCTGCTGCACACACTGAGGCAAGGGGCTCGGTATAAGAGCCAAATTGATAATTCAGGTGTAATTTACTGTGTCAGAGGAGGTCACTGAGTTGTGCCATGCTGTGAGTGAAAACATTGGGAAAACAGTGGGTTTCAGTCAACAGTGCTGTGGGCCTGTCCGGACAGCAGCCTTGTTTTGTGGAGTGTCTTCAAACTGTGCTCCTTAGGTCTAAACAAACAATGAAATAACCAACAAGTCCTCCAACCCATACGATCACGTAGGTTGGTTGTTCCTATCATGGATGTATTATTAGATCTGGATACTGGACCCTAAGGAGGCTCTTGTTCAGTCCGATAAGAACTGCTTGCCTGGTGCATACATAGTTGTACAAAGAGGGCAGCATCGGAGGTGAGGCCCCGTTCATTCTTAGTTGCTCAGTTGCTCAGTTGCTCAGTGGTGCATGAAGCCAAAAAAGTTTGACTTCCCGGGTATAAAATTAACCAGATCTTTCGCATCCTTTGGCCCACAGAGCAGGTGCACAAGAGACTTTCACTGACCGGGCAGCTAACTTTTGCCAGCTGAGCGGTAGACTCACAAGTCAGTCTTTAGACGCTTTGCTTACCTAAAGACTGATGACTTTCTCCCTGATTTTGTGTTTAGATGGGCGAATACAATTTCAGAGTTTAAAAAAACTCCCTACGTTGCAGAACCAATAGTAAATCAGCAAGGCGGTACTTCAGTAGCTAGCTGAACTCTTGTGCTAGTAAACATAGTCCCACTAGAAACACGTGTAGTGGTACAAAATGGCTCAGCCGCGCTCGCAGAAAACGCCGTCAAAGTTAGTGGATGTTTGTCGCGTTTATGGCGACACATTCTTGCCAACTAAAAGAAACAAACATAATCTTTTGCAAGGCCATGACTCATCCGTCCGGCCGGACTATAAAGGGAATCGCCTTGTTGAGCTTTTAGCTATATATACATATACATATATATATACAGTACAGGCCAAAAGTTTGGACACACCTTCTCATTCAATGCGTTTTCTTTATTTTCATGACTATTTACATTGTAGATTCTCACTGAAGGCATCAAAACTATGAATGAACACATGTGGAGTTATGTACTTAACAAAAAAAGGTGAAATAACTGAAAACATGTTTTATATTCTAGTTTCTTCAAAATAGCCACCCTTTGCTCTGATTACTGCTTTGCACACTCTTGGCATTCTCTCCATGAGCTTCAAGAGGTAGTCACCTGAAATGGTTTCCACTTCACAGGTGTGCCTTATCAGGGTTAATTAGTGGAATTTCTTGCTTTATCAATGGGGTTGGGACCATCAGTTGTGTTGTGCAGAAGTCAGGTTAATACACAGCCGACAGCCCTATTGGACAACTGTTAAAATTCATATTATGGCAAGAACCAATCAGCTAACTAAAGAAAAACGAGTGGCCATCATTACTTTAAGAAATGAAGGTCAGTCAGTCCGGAAAATTGCAAAAACTTTAAATGTGTCCCCAAGTGGAGTCGCAAAAACCATCAAGCGCTACAACGAAACTGGCACACATGAGGACCGACCCAGGAAAGGAAGACCAAGAGTCACCTCTGCTTCTGAGGATAAGTTCATCCGAGTCACCAGCCTCAGAAATCGCAAGTTAACAGCAGCTCAGATCAGAGACCAGATGAATGCCACACAGAGTTCTAGCAGCAGACCCATCTCTAGAACAACTGTTAAGAGGAGACTGCGCCAATCAGGCCTTCATGGTCAAATAGCTGCTAGGAAACCACTGCTAAGGAGAGGCAACAAGCAGAAGAGATTTGTTTGGGCCAAGAAACACAAGGAATGGACATTAGACCAGTGGAAATCTGTGCTTTGGTCTGATGAGTCCAAATTTGAGATCTTTGGTTCCAACCGCCGTGTCTTTGTGAGACGCAGAAAAGGTGAACGGATGGATTCCACATGCCTGGTTCCCACTGTGAAGCATGGAGGAGGAGGTGTGATGGTGTGGGGGTGTTTTGCTGGTGACACTGTTGGGGATTTATTCAAAATTGAAGGCACACTGAACCAGCATGGCTACCACAGCATCCTGCAGCGACATGCCATCCCATCCGGTTTGCGTTTAGTTGGACGATCATTTATTTTTCAACAGGACAATGACCCCAAACACACCTCCAGGCTGTGTAAGGGCTATTTGACCAAGAAGGAGAGTGATGGAGTGCTGCGGCAGATGACCTGGCCTCCACAGTCACCGGACCTGAACCCAATCGAGATGGTTTGGGGTGAGCTGGACCGCAGAGTGAAGGCAAAGGGGCCAACAAGTGCTAAACACCTCTGGGAACTCCTTCAAGACTGTTGGAAAACCATTTCAGGTGACTACCTCTTGAAGCTCATGGAGAGAATGCCAAGAGTGTGCAAAGCAGTAATCAGAGCAAAGGGTGGCTATTTTGAAGAAACTAGAATATAAAACATGTTTTCAGTTATTTCACCTTTTTTTGTTAAGTACATAACTCCACATGTGTTCATTCATAGTTTTGATGCCTTCAGTGAGAATCTACAATGTAAATAGTCATGAAAATAAAGAAAACGCATTGAATGAGAAGGTGTGTCCAAACTTTTGGCCTGTACTGTATATATATATATAACGTTATATATCACATTTTTCACATCACCGTATCACCGTTTAGACTAATCCAATGTTTGTAAAGTCTATAAACACAATGATTGAACAAACATTACTATTTCGGAGTGCACGTTTAGCTGGGCTAACCGTTAGCTGTTAGCCCTGTTAGCCATTAGCGGTGTCTGTAATAGGTAATAACTCATTAAATAGTCCATGAAAAAAATATTATTTCGAGCGGATATCTTAGTTACAACATGATTGAGCTAGCAAAGCAGTTTTGTGTTGCTATGTGTGGTATTTATTCAGTTTTGGGAAATCACGATGTCTAGAAAGCATCAGTGGCTGCAGCTGACAGGGACACTTAATAGCAGCAGCAAAGCTAACATCAGGATGTCATCTGTTAAAAGCCTCCCGTTGTCGGGTACGACATGAAACTACTCCAGTTAGCTCAATCATGTTGTAACTAAGACATCCGCTGGAAAAAATATTTTTTTCACGGATGAGCACACGTTTGATAAAACGGAGTTTAATCTCTCAGCATCCATTTTCAAGCTCTCTGTGTGTTTGTTTCCTTGCGGACGAGAAAAGGGGGAGCGCACATTTCCTAGAAGGCCTTTTCAAAAATGCAAGAGGCGTTGCTTTGTTGCCAGCCGTTTTTGCCGGTGTGTTAAACACACTTTAGAAAGGAGTGTCCCCAGACTATCAGAAGGCGGAGATCTCTGATCGTCTGGTGGCGAGACTAGCTGAGCGGAGCAGTTTAGCTAATTTGGATGGGCATAAAGTGATTAATAATACAGCTCCTCTAGACTTTCCAGATGTTATCAGACCAAATGGATCAAATCTTAATAGTGCAACAAGTCATTTCCCAAGGCATGTGACGCTCACAAAATTGCATCCACTTATTTACAGACATGTCTTTCCATGTGTAAGTCTGGAGAAAAAATTTTTTTGGACCCAATGGCCACACTGACAGATCCCTGAAGCTTAAGTTATACACAGTTCAGCCACTATACGGAAATTGACTTCAAAGTCTAGTGCACTTCCTGTGGGTGTGTTGCATATGCCATAAAGTTTCTAGCTTCTGGATTTACTTCTGGGGTGTGCAGCCCACTGAATATGCGCAGTAGTAATTCTACCACTGGCACCTCCAGTGAGATCCCACTCTGCCCATAAACTTCACATTGTGATGACATCACAGTCTTTATATTGCTTTTCTCAGCTCGAGTAAAGTTTAACAAATAGAAAAGACACCTCCATAGATCAAAAATTCGTAATAGAAAGAGATCATAAGAAATCATAATTTGCAGTTCGAGGTGTCCTGTAAACAGTTTTACAGATGTCTCTTTTATAATGGTGGTTTAAGGAAAAGCCTGAGATTTTTTTACTGCAGTACCATGAGTGGCCACTGGGAAAAATTGTAACGAGGCTGAGCGGCATTCCTGGGGGCTTGATTCCTATCCTCTAATCTGACTCACAGGAGTGTACTGGTGGCAAAAACGACATAAAATGAGCTTAAACGGTCGTAGTTTTGAACATGTGGTTAACGTTGTGAATTGGTTGTGGTTAGTCCCAGGCAACAAAACTACTTGGTTAGGTTTATGAAAAGGTACTGGTTTGGATTCAAATAAGCGCTTTCTTACTTAAGCTAACTATGTAAGTTAAAGTAATTCAGCGCAACAGTCTACTTGGTCAAAGTCCTGGGTTTGTTTGAAACATCCATCTACTCTCTGTACACAAACTCTCTTGTCCCTGTCATAATAACTATGGCCACTAGAGGTCACCGCCTCACATTAAACATTTATATAGGTCATAAAAAGACGCTTGTACAAACGATGTGGTCGTGTTTTGAAGGACAGTCT